CAGATGGTTTCCTCTGGGCTACTGCATAGTAACGTGGGGGCTGTGCTTTGGTTCCAGAAAGAGGAAGGGGAACGGCGCGTGACCTGGGAAAAGAACCTCAAGCTCGTTATGCTGCATAACCTCGAGCACTCACTGGGGCTGCATTCCTATGAGCTGGGCATGAACCACCTGGCAGACATGGTAAGTTAAAAAAATATTGTTACAGACCCCGTGACTGGGCATCTGGGAATTATCTGTGTTTCCCTGGGGCTGCCGTGGCCAGAGAATGTAACTGAGTCAGGGGCAGAATAAGCTCTAGCTAATCCAGGGTCAGTATGAGCCCTGCAGAGGTAGGCCCACAAACCACAGCACCTCCAGCAGTAACCTGCCCCCGTCACCGCTCCCGAGAACTGTGCAAATCTTTGTTCTACTTGCTTGGGTCAGGGGTGTCTGAGGGAAATCTGCCATCGGGGGGGTAGTCCTGATTTTTTAAGTGCAGGTGCTCCACCCCCTGCTAGCCCGCTGCTGGCGTGACCCCCTCCCCCCAGCATGTTTCTGTATCAAATCACATCTTCCAAGTAGCGTGACCTCGCACCCTGCTTCTCAACCTTACTGTGTCTGCCACCCTCCCTTACCCCCATGAGGAATGTCACAACCTGTCTGCTAGGCCGTTGCTGGTTAGAGAAGTTGCTCCTTTAATTCAAATTGTAGGTACTTGTGCTTCAGATCCCGTTACTGCCAACGCCAAGCATTCAGAACTCAGGAGTCAGACCTCTAAAATCATGGGGTGGCTTAAAAATTCTGGGATTAAAAACAAAGTCTAAATCTGGGGGCTCTTTTTATTTGCCTCTGGGTTTTGCACTTTTAAGGGTTATGTTTTCCTGCAGTTCTCCACAGCTATACGAGAGATGGAAACTTTAAAAAAAACAAGCTGAAATTCTTGTGCAATCTGATCCCCTCCCCCCCACATTGGTGCTTTAAGGAAAACACCAGATATTATGACACTCTCAATAAAACCAAGAGATTTGGCAATGCTGATGCTCCTGGGTAGAGCTATGTGAAGAAGAATTTTTTTTGGTTTGGTGGCTGAAAAATCAATCAATCAATCAATCAATCAATAAAAAAGTTAGTTTCAGATGGACCTGAAATGACAAAGGTGAAATGCAAAAAAGATGAAAACAATTCATTTAGGGTCGGACAACACATTTTGTTTAGTTTTCTAGATTATTTTACCTTTTTAAAAAAATAAATAAAAGAAATGAAAGTAAAATTTGAACTGAAAAGTCATTTTGAATCCAAACATTTGGACTAGTTTTGAATTTTTTTTCCGGTTGAAACAATTTTGCAAATTCAAGGTGAGTTCACGCAATGTTTCAGTCGACCAAAATATGCATTTTTCAGATAAAAAACATTTGTTTTTGTCTGAAAACTTTCCGACAGCGCTAGTCCTGTGTTCTATCCCCAGCAGTGTCCTGGGGGAGGAGGATTAGCACGTGGAGAATCACAGAATCCAGAGTTCTCGGCAAACAAAGCTACAGCATGGGCATTGTGTCAGCCAGGCGATCCCCAGCATTCAGGCGTGCTCATATTTTTCACTGCATAAAGGAAAACACTGTATCAATGAATAAGAGTTGAACCTGAGCCGCAGAGTTTGTATCCGAATGTCCCCAGTGTTCGGGGCCAGTCTGTACATCGAAGGGGACGTCAGTCTGAAGGTGTGTGTGTGTTCTTTTAACTAGACCAGCGAGGAAGTGGCTGCTTTGTTAACGGGAGTGAAAATTCCTCACCGACCTGACCGAAATTCCACCTACAGGCCACGCCCTGGCAGCAAAGTGCCTGACTCCATGGACTGGAGGGACAAAGGATGTGTTACGGATGTGAAAAATCAGGTGGGAGGCTCAATCTGTTCCCCTACTGACATGGGTGCCCATCACAGCAGTGGCTGAACGCATCTCTGTTTTTTTCAGCTGGCCTGTGGGGCCTGCTGGGCTTTCAGTGCTGTTGGTGCCCTAGAAGCCCAGGTGAAACTGAAAACTGGAAACCTGGTGTC